GCGCAGACACAGAGACACACACAGACGGATCTGCGCAGACACAGAGACACACACAGATGGATCTGCGCAGACACAGAGACACACACAGACGGATCTGCGCAGACACAGAGACACACACACACACAGACGGATCTGCGCAGACACAGAGACACACACAGACGGATCTGCGCAGACACAGAGACACACACAGATGGATCTGCGCAGACACAGAGACACACACACACACACACACACACACACACACACACACACACACAGACGGATCTGCGCAGACACAGAGACACACACACACACAGACGGATCTGCGCAGACACAGGGACCAGATTAACTTTTTACCCTGTTTGCTGGAATACTTGCAGAAGTTAGTTTATATTTTTCCTTAAGACTAGTCATTACTTCAGGTCAGTTGCATAAAAATGTAGATTTAAGATCCGTTTAATATGAGAACAAAAAGGAAGCCTCCTTTTTAAAAGATTATCCTCTGGTTTTTAACAGTAATGGCTGCGTTCCTGCAACGGGCCCCAGAGCATCTGTTTCCATGATGACAGAACAATAAATAAACTCACGAAGCCTCGGAAACACTCACAAATATCCACTGGAAGGATATCAATGCAGGAACTGCTTCCCAGAACAATCTGAGAATGATATTTTACGGTTGTAAAAAATCAAACCTAGAAAGAAGGTTTTTCTGTGGTTCCCAGGATATAACACAGGGGACAAAGCGCACAGTAAATCAGATCGGACACAAACACACACTCTCTGCAATAACAGGCCGTCTGCGTCAGGCCAAGATCATCAAACACAGAGCGTTGGTTACCCAGAGGCCTCGGCGCTCCAGCTTCAGCTGCTACGGCCATCAAACACCACAAACCTCCAGAACATATGATTCTTCATAAAAGCCCAGGAGCCGTTCTGATGAGATCTGGGAGTTTCCCACGGGAAGAGCTGATGATCTGACAGCGAATCCGGATCTTTCTGTGGCTGAGAATCAAGAGATCGCTGACTGACCTGATACAGAAATCATCATCCTGCCATCAGTTTCTCAGAGACCCTTTATTCACAAGCAGATGTTCTGAGAAACGCCTCAGTGTGTGTGTGTGTGTGTTCTATCGGGCCCAGACTCCTGTCGCACACACACTGGTGCTGAGGAGTCTCTCGGTCTGACACCGGACCTGCACAAACACACACACACACACACACACACACAATCAGTCCATCCTAACATCAGTTTAGTTCATATATGAAACATCTCTTTAGTTTGTATTTTTTCATTTAATTCTTTTGTTTTTTAAATGTAGTTATTGTGTTTATGTTGTGTTCGCCGAGACCTGCGTCTCATGATGATGATGATGATGATGATGAACTCTGCCGCCCTCTTCTGCTCACAGCACAGCAGTGTTTATGAGTTTATGACGGACAGATTTACAGCGTGAACACCGACAACCAGTCCAGGATAAACACCACACACACCACACACACACACTAACCCGACCCCTAAACCTGCCCATCACACAAAACTCATTCTGCATGATACGCTTTTTTCCTCAGTTTCGGCCCACAGTGACACGAGTCCCCTTGAGTCTGTATATGCACTCGTCTCGGGGTTAAGTCCCCACCGGGATAGAAAAACATGTACACACTCTCTCTCTCACACACACACTGTTTTTACAGGGAAATGGAATGTAATCACAGTAAAGCGTCACACATTCCAGCGACACACTGAACCCGAGCGCGCGGATCACCTGATGACTCGGATTAATTAAACTCGTGTTATCTGTCAATGATTCATAACTTCTTTCACATAAACTTCAGGTGCAGAGTCACATCAACTCTCATATCAATCCCTCAGTCGATGTATCGATTAATCAATGATCACTCACGTCACAATCCGAGGATTCCAGTTTCCTCGTCACTCGCGGAGGGGGAGGAGCCACATCTCACCTGTCAATCATGACAACTTCATCCAACATTACATTTATGCATCAACAAACGAGCGAATCCAGCACTGACAACATTCAATAATAATCACAACATTTCTCATAATAAACAAATATTTCTATTTCATTTTGTGTCAGTAAATGTCCTTCAAATCAAACATGACAAACCTTCATGACTCGTCTTACCATGAACTGCATAGACACAACAATATGCGCAATTATAACAAGACTAAATAGAAAATCAGTCAATGCTGTTGATTCACCAAACAAACACTGGGACAAATTAATAAAGTACAAAAATACCTCAAAAGCAGAAGATATGAGTGTTTCTCCTGACGCTTAAATGTTGAACAGTCTGTTTATTTTGCTTTCTATCGAAATATGATTTAATCATGTAGCCTATCTTTATTTAGATAGGAGTTTTCCCAATGCTTGATATTTCATTGATTTGTTCTGATGCAGAAGTGATTAGGGACTCGTTAAGCAGTGACCTCTCGACTCAGTCTGATGTCACCCGTTTCCACGGCAACAGCATGGTCCGTCACGTCACTTCCGTTTCGGTT